CCCCAAAACCCCAAAACCCCAAAACCCCAAAACCCCAAAACCCCAAGTTATATAAGCGGTGTTGAACTACTCGTTAATAAAAATTACTAAAAATCTAATATAAAATAACGTATGGAAGGAAATTCAGCAAAAAAAAAGCAAAGAAGTCACATTTGAAAAATAAGAACCAGCATGTTCAAAAGGAAAAACCATGTAAGCAGTTAAAAAATGATGAAGCCTCTAAAATAGACTCAAGAGATAAGACTGGGCTATCATTAAGCAAAGGTATAGATGCCATGTCTAGGACTACTTCTGCGGCACCAGAAAGCGTCAGCAACTTTCTACTTGGAAGTTATCCTAGTATCAATCGTGGAGAGGGTCAAAATGGTAGAAAAGACATTCACTTGCAAGCAAGTAATATTTCAAGAATCCAAAAATAGCTACAAGAAGTTAACTGGTGAGCCTAGACCTAAGGCTGATGCTGTCTTGACTAATCAAGTAAAGAAGAGAGATAGAAAAACTGACCCTTCTGAGGCTTCTCCTAGCATGGCTGAGGAAACATCTCAAAGTGGCAGGTTAAAAAGTTATACCTCAGAAAGTAAGCAGAAATGCTTCGCAATCTTAAGAGTAAGAGCCCATTATTACAAGCTAATAATGGCTCCTGGACTTGAAGAAATGATCACTGAGAGAGTAGAATCATGACTCGAGCTCCAGAGTGATGATAGAATGAGTAATCCAAGATATTTCCCTTATGGTAAAAACTATACAGGGCGTATTAAGATTCGAGATCAAGCACCAATCTCTTGTTTGGGTATCAAAATTACTTCAAACACCATTGAGAACACTATCTCATTTGTTACTGAGAAAGGTAAGTCTGATGTAATTTTGGAATACTTTCCATTTTCTGCCATATTCTTCCTTGAAGATATTTTCTTCAAAATTTCTGTGTGAAAGGAATCTGACATAAAGAAACTTTTTAAAATTTGCACATAAGTTTGAAGTCTTAATAATTATAGCATGCAAATTTAAGACAAGAGAATTGGAAAGATTCATTGGATCATTGAGATTATCTTTGGACGGATTCCAGTCAGAATTGCATCTTTACGAATCTGCTCTTGAAAAGGGGATCCCTCATTTATGGTTCAACATTGATCATCTGGGAAGGGTTTCAGATGCGGTCAGCCAAAAGCGTCAAGACATTTTGAATAAAGATAAGCCAGAAGCGCCAAAACAAACATTGCCTCCTTCAGCAATGGCTTACTCGTCTCTACAGAATTTTTGAGGTGGAGGTGGTATGTTAGGCTCAGGTGCCATTCCTTTAGGATCTTGTACGAGTCTTCCTAACATGACACTGCCTACTACACCTCTTGTCAACTCAGATTTCACGGATTCAGATTCAGACGAGAAATATATATTTAGTGGGAAAACTTACTGCTACAAAAAATACAGGAAAAAGATGATTAAAAGTTATTTAACGAAGGAAATACTAAAATCACAGATTCGTTTAAAGCCATCCTTCAAAGATATGGTTCAGAACTGTCCTGAGAGCTGGACTAATGCCCATTTATTAGGCTTCAAAACAAGTATGTACTACACCATAGACCTGGATCTTACGAGCAGAGAGGCTCACAAAATCATAAGAGAGGTTAATAGAGGGTCAGAAAGTGTAAGTTTGCTCATATCCTAAATCATCCAAATTTTCCATGATTTTATTTTCTAACATTTAAGCACAAGTTTGACTAATTTCATAGATCAAGTTAGATATTATTAAAATTGAGAAAATTCATAACTTACTTGCCTTTGATAAGTACCAACAACAGAAAGCCTTATTAGAACTGAAGTACCCTGAGGATAAGGAGATAGAGAAATACCTTTTCCATGGCACAAAGAACAATGACCCTGAGTTAATAATGAGCTCAGAGGTAGGGTTTGATGTCAGATACTCCGACAATGGATCTTTGGGAAGAGGCACTTATTTCTCCAGCACTTTCATGCATTCTCATGGGTGTGCTTATAAAGATCAAATTCGAGATAAGACATACCATCAAGTCTTCTTTGCAAGAGTCTTGACAGGGAAGCAAGCTACAAATCAGCCTTCTATACGTGGGGTAGAGCCTCCTATTGACCCAAAGACTGGGTTAAAATATGACTCAATGGCATCAGATATTCAAAATGGAAAACAACATGTTGTTTATGAGAATGGAAGAAGCTACCCAGAATATTGCATAACTTATACTGTAGATGATCCTAACTGCACGGATGAGGATTATTCCGGATATTTTAGTAATGCTGGTATTTACGCAACCTCACCCATTTCTTCAGGTATCCCAAGCAACACCTTTCCACCCTTCTCCAACCTTCAGTTCCTCACTAGACCTCCTCCATTCTTACCACCTAGATACCTCAACGAAATTCAACCCCTAAATCCTTTCCAGAATTCTAACAGAAATAGTTAATTTTCAGTACAAAATTCATAAAAAATCTCAAGTTCTCTTAAAAAATCTACATATAAAAAAATTTCAAAATTTTGTTCGTAAAAAGGGGTTTTGGGGTTTTGGGGTTTTGGGG